TACATCACGAGGACCTGGTGGTTGGGGGCTGAGCCGGTGGCGGGGGAGGAGGTGGCCTGCCCCGGCTGGCACCGGCCGCCCGGCTCGGGGGAGGCCCGCCCGGTTGTTATTTGGGGAAAGGCTCTGTCCCGCACAGTGAGGTCGGTGCCCCCAAGGATCCAAACAGGCTGGCTCTTCGTTTGCTAAAGTAGCAGTAGTTGTTGAGAGAGCTATTAGGAAGTTAAGTTGATTTTTAAAAAAGTAGAAAAAAGTATCATAATTATAAAAAAAAAAAAAAAAAAAAAAAGGAAAAAGAGCTAAGTGTTTAAGTGCTTGCCATCCGAATCTCTTCCTGCAGTCTTACAACCAAAACCCAGATGCAGACGTATAGGCTTTGAGTTAGATAAAATCATTTAACTTTACCGGAGGGGTAAAAGTGTCATTTGGTCACATGTAATAGTCAGCAGTTAGATTGTATTCGTCCTGAGCCTCAGTAAATGTATTAAGGCATACTTCTAAATGAGCCTAATGAGAGGGCTCTGCATGAAAGCTCTTGCTTTCAGCTATCTATACAAGAAGGTTTAATAAAATACTTCATCTCTCTTTGCAAACCCTGACTCGTTTTTATATGCTCAAGCCATTGTAGGTTGCCACATTGCTGTTCCATGAATGCAATTTTGCCATTTGTTGTTCTGTTTGGACATATTGTAAGATACTCTGTATCTCTGATCATCCTTAAATCTCTTTTCAGTGTTTTCTACAATATTGTTTTGAGGTATTGTCATCCTAGTACTCAAGAAGCTGTATGTGGAGTTGTCATGATGTTTTCTGTTTTGCCTTTTATTCTGTATTTAGTAAGTCAGGTGTTCCTTTTGCTGTTTGTCTGTCCTGAGTAATATTGTACAGTCAAGGCACTGTCACTGCATTCGTTGTTTTTTTTTTACGACTACTGAAGATTTTAGACACCAGTACAGGTTTATAGAATGGAAACTTCCCTGAAGTGTAGAAATTAGCCTTTCTTTCCTCTCTATGATTTTTGCTTATTGCTTGCTTTTGTACAGGTTTTGGTCTACAGTAAGACTTGATTTCTTCGGAAATCTTTGATATGGGATCTTTTTGAAAGATTTTGGGAAATTTAAGTACTTAATATTGTCTGGATTGTATTCACTGACTTTTTTTTTTCAGAAAATTCTTAGAACTATTAAGCGTGACTTTATGAAAAGGAAGAAAAAAGTTACTAATCTACATTTGCTTATTTACTTTTCTACAGGAGTAGTAAGACTTTATTAGTCTGGTTTCTTGCGTGCTGTCAGATTCTTTGTAGGATATTTGATATACTCTGTTCTCATGCCAACAAATTCTGACTGAAACATTTTATAGTTGAACTGTTTAAAGGTTGATTAAAAGTGGTATTATACATTACAACTATAAATATACAATGCCACATGTTCATTGTTCTAAATACCTCTTATTAGCATTTGAAGTTGAGGGTTCCTCAGTGTGTGCCTGGTATAGAAAAAATATGAAAATAATAAGAATTCCTGTATTTAAAAAGAAGATAAAATAGTCAAAGTTTAGGCTTCCCCCCCAGCTTCCCCTCTTCTCCCTTCCATATGAATAAGAACTGCAATTTAACATGAGCCTCAGATTAGTTTCAGGGGTTCAGAATCTCTTTTCTCAGAAGCAGCTATTTGTTGCTGCGGTAAAGAAGATTGCCTGTTTTCAGTTTTGGGGAACTTTTACTTCAGGTCTGTTTAATATCGTATTTTTCCAAACCGGGTGTCAGGCTTGTCTTCTAGCTATGTATCATCATCTTTGGGCATTTCACACTGGGGAGGTCTGTGACATCATTTTACTTGTAAGGAGAAATAAAAAGAGGGCAGTATTTTCTAAGAGCAGAGAAATTTACCTACTTAATCATGTTCAAAAGACAAGACAGACCTATGCTGTGGGGGAAGATGCAGAACAGCTTTTATAAATTATATAGTGAAACAAATAATGACTGAAATGGGTAAGAACTCTAAGTCTCCACAGTAAGATAAGGGCAATAGAAGTGCTAACTGATCCAAGCTGCCGCAGGTGTTCAAAATGTTGCACAGTGAGTACTGCCCAGCAGTGTTAGAACTGGGGATGGAAATAGGCTCTGCAGTCAGGGAATAACTCCTGTTGAGCTTCTCCTGGCATCGTGGATAGCTTTATTCTATAGATAATCAGAATATAGAGAAGTTCAACAGTGGTTTTGTTGCTGGGTGAGGAATGCATATTCAAAATCAGTTCGTTAGAAAATAAAGGAATTTGACAGCTAACAACTTGTAAGAAGCCACCAAATTACTGCTTTAGATGATGCTTCCAGAGGGAGCATGTTTATTTTGCATAAACCCATTTCATCACATCTATTTCTAAACAGATACTAATGAAGTAAATGTCTGTTGAAACTGATAAAGAAACAATAAAAAACGTAACTATCACTTTTTCTTCTGTTTAAGAGCAACTCCTACCAGAGTTATCCAGCATCCCTCAGCAAGTGAGACTATTAACTATGATGTTAAGGCTTTCGGATCCTCTCTGCCTGTTAAGGTTATGGAAGCCCTGAAGAAGGCTGATGGTAAGAACTGATTTTATTTGCTATCTTTCTCATGAAAATTGACAGGCAAGAGAAATGTTAACATATTGTTGATGCCATTTAAATGCTGACTTTACAGTGGAAACTGATGTGTTTCTGCCTTGGTTTGAATCCAACTTGGTTAACTATGTAACTATAATTGTAAGAACTATGTAACTATAATTGTAGTAACACTCATGTGGGTATGGACGCGTGTAAGTATCCTTCAGGTGCTGTCTTAACCAATATATTGTAAAATCCAAGGTTATAAAGAAAGCCAATAGTTTTTTTAGTAACTTTTCCCTATTGTTTTTTCCTCACCTTTTTTCACTTGTTTTGATTCTGTTGTGTCCTAGAGTGGATGCTCTAATGTTTGGGGTTTTTTTAATTTATTTTTAATCCACATTTGTTGCTGTTTCTAAAAGCCTCAGTGATACAAACCTTTCCCTGAGTTCAAGAAATTGGTCTTCTAAACAATTTTTCCCCGTAGATAAGTTTTCTTTTTGTAGTAAATACAAGAGGAATCAAAAATACATATCTAAAAATAATCTTAAAATTGCTGAGCAATTTACAAAGCTATTATAATCTGCTCTAAATTGATGGAAGCAGTTTCTAGGATTGTCTTGCTTTTCAGTCTCAAAAGCTGAGCATTTGTCAAATGGATTTTTAAACTTTAGGTAATAATTTGGTATCTTAATCAAATACATGGAAATTCTAACGTGGAATTTAATTTAATAGAAAATGTATTTCTTTTTTTCATATGAGAATGAAAGTTTATTGATTTTAAGGTTACTCTGCAGTGTTTTAAAAATCCAAATGCTTTAAAAAATTACTTTTTACGTAGCTGATGACCAGCTGAGCGTTCAAGTGGATGAAAGCGGATGGGCCTGGCTAGTCCATAAGGAGAGGCTGATTATTTGGAAGATTGGTCAGTCTGCAGTAGCTAAGGTAACTGAAAGATCAAGATGGAAAAACTTATATATTTTACACTAGTTGAACAGGTTATTCAGTTGTGGTTTTTTTTTTCTTGAAAGCAAGATTTTCTTTATAAATTGGAGTTTGTTTGGTTTCCCCCAAAAGCAGTGGGGTTGATATGAAGTCATACTAACAACAGTAACTGAAACACAAGCTTTTGAGGGGGCTCAACACTTTTTTGTTCCTTTTTTAATTTTTTCTTGTCACCTTAACACTAAGATTAATTATTTGCATTTTCATAGATGTGTCTCCTATGTTAAATAGTCTTGATAAAGCTTATTTTAATAGTAAAAACTAGTTGATATATTATGGTTTGGTTTGGATTATTCTGGGACTGATTTTCAACTTGTCAAAAAAAAAAAAAGGTTAGTTTCAGTTGTGCTGAACATATGTTTAATCTAGGTTTCTTATGTCAACATTTTTTTTTCCCCCCTCTGGGTAGCGTTTCTTTCAGCATAATTTCAGTGAGTAGCAAGTATGGCCAGAGGAAACCTGTAGTTACAAAATCAATATCTTTCAATTTGTGCAACGTGTGTTAATTATACAGATTCTGCACTTACAGCGGAGTGTCAGTTATACACGTTCTGGTACTTGTAGAGATTTCACAAGGGATTAAATTTTTTCTGATTGTTTAACGTTGGGGGGACAGGGGAAGGAGGAGTGTTTCCCCTCTCCACTCTGTTACAACCTAGTGAGCTTTCTCAAGCAATTCTAGTTGAATTTTGGATTGCCGCCTTGATAGCATATTGTATTAAGGAACGGTCAAATAATTGCACCTCTGAAAGAAATAATTCAATATTGTAGTGTTGTGAGAAAAACTCAGAAATAACTAAAGAAAAACAGTAATGTTTGAAAATGTACAAGTATGTGGTTTTTAGCTGTTTGGTGGTTGTGACAAACTTGCTGAAAACGTCTTGGGATGTTCTTTTGGTTCCCTTACAAAGTGTCTGGGCTAGTTGAAAATTAATTTTTAGCAGGATCAAAAAGTCTAAAGGCTTTGTGGCAGAGGAATAAATTCTTCCAGTCTCATACGTATTATGGCATCTCTTTCATTCTTACAGTTATCTCTGTGCAAAGAACTGCAGCTGCCACCCAGTGACTTCCAGTGGAGTTCTAGCTTAGCAGCTATATCTTGTCTCAGTTCCTCAGGTGAAGCACCTTCTCTGCAGGTGATCAACTTTTAAATTGTAGTGTTTAAAAATACTTTTAGACTGACTTTGAATATAGGCTATTTTATCAAGTACTTACTTGAAAACTGCATTTGGTGTTGTACTATCTATTCAAAAGGTCAGGATTGATAGTTTGGAATAAATATGCTTGAAATAAACAAAATTCTGCTAGTCTTTGCAAATTACACCATTTACATGTTATAGGATCAGATTAAATAATAGTTTTCCTAAGGATTACTTGGTGTGCTTTCGTAAGAAACAAAAATACAGTAAACTAAGAAGTATTGTGTTAACAAACACCAGGGCAATCAAATATTCAGTCTAAGCAAGCGCAATTTAAATGCATGCTGACTGAAAAAGTTGTTCAGCAGTGGTTTAATTCTGAGTACACATGGATGAGAAGCAAACACCAGCACTCCCCTTTGGCTGGGCTTTCTAAGGAAGCGGGCACTGGGAGGACATATGATTTAATGTTTTGACTGATTGCTTTCCTAAGTGCCTTTTCATAACATACTGTGCTAGAGCGTGAGGTTTGAAGATCGGTTAAGTTTTCTGAAAGTATGTTGATGTGTCTGTTACTATCATTCATGAAGAAAAGAAGCGCTCATTTTCAGTTTGGGTGCAGTTTTCAGTTAATATGTGTCGTGTGCTTAATAACTCTGTATAAGCAGTTGTCTTTGGAAGGAAGAAACAGCACAGAATATGTAATAGGATCTTTTCTTTTGACTTGTTATTGTGTTATGCTTCCAGATGATGAAAAGCAATCTTAGTATCTTGTGATTAGCTCGTAAAACTCTAAATGCTCTGTGATTTAGTCATACCCAAAGAAGTTTAAGAGGGTAATGCACCTAAACCAAGATTATTTATTTCTTTTAATTTCATCTTTCTACAGCTTGTGAGCTATGCTTGGGTACTATGATTTTACAGAGCGAAGTAGAAATATTAGTGGTAGAAAATATTTCACTAAAATGAAAGTTATTAAATAATGGTCAGGAATCACAAAGGACAAAGTGTTTGGTTTGGTTTTTTTTTTTTTTTAATTGTTGTGATGTTCACTAGACAACTGCTTTCATGTTGTGAATATCTTCATCTAGTCAAAAATCAGTGAGAAAACTCCAAGGAGCTCAGTTACAGCTTTCAGCTACAGCTCTTCTGTTGTTCTGTGATTATTATTTTTTTTCAACAACTGGTAGATTAGGTACAATGCTTTCTGTCTAAATCTCTACTTGAACACAGTCTCTTGCTTCGTGATTTGAATTTGGTATCTGAGTGATTTCCTGAGTCAGAAGTCCTAATGTAGGCACACTGTGGGCTTATGTATTTATGAAGAGAAGAGCCACCATGTGATTTGATATTTGTATTTAAGACACTAGAGTGCTTTCTTTACTAAATTATAGTCTAATTTTAAATATTCCATAGTAGCTTGTAACTCTTGGCCTCTGGAATTCTCCAGAGGCTCTTTTCTGTCTTGCAACTGTAAGTTTTGCTTGCATTCCAATAGCAGACCCTGAATTATCAGGAACAAGAACCAGCCAAAAATATTATTGTTAGCAAAATAAGCAAGTATAACATGCCCTGCACACATTAAGTTATGTTACAGAATCGTTTTGCAATTCAGTTCTAGATTTTGTCAGTGTGCATCCAAATGTATCTATTACTTTTTTGTGTGTTTTTCATGGAAAATCTTGATATGTAAAATAACATGTTTTAGTTAAAGCTGCATTCTGATTGTTATTACTATCTTGCATGTGCTGTTAATTATTTTCTCACTTCGAGTCTCTGGCAATAATGGTTGCTACCAGCGAAGGTTCTGTGCGCTACTGGCCCAATCTTGCACATGAAGGTTCCTATACAGAGACTTCTACAGACTTTGGAGGCTCTCTGTGCAGTTTCTTAACAGCAGTAAAGGTACAGTACAGTATGATTGATAATAAAATACAGCTTTAATTCCTCATTTAAAAATTAAAAAGCATGCTTCACATTATCAGTCCTAGATCTCCAATAAATGTTGCAAAGTAAACTATAAAATATTCTGAGGAGTAGTTTCAGACATTGATGAGTGTGATGATCTGAAGTAGCAGAGATGACTGATAGTCATAAATAATGATGTTAAAGTCAGGCAAGCATGCGACATTCAATCGCAAGGTTGACAGGACTGGTTTGGTACCTCAGCTGATGAGGTGTGTCAGTATTACTACTGTGATTACTTCCTGCCATCACAAAACCAGAGAACTACTTCATCTGAATCCGCAGGCCACGCACTCAGCATCTTGTGGTATAGCTCACCAGTGACTGAATTTGAGAGATTTCTGTATGAAAGTAATGAACAAGTATATTGTGAATTGTAGTCAGAAATCTTTTTTTTTATGCTGTTGATGTGCCTAAATGGGGAAAACTCTCAAAATGGATATATAAAAAAAATCAATGTGTGTTACAATACGTGTTTCTTCAAAACACTTTATTTTATAACCTTTTCAGCATCTGCGGTTCATATCCTATATTATAAATATTACTTCGGGGCATCAGCATGTCGTAAACTTTTGTAAACCTGATCAGAAGACAGTGATCTTAATGACAATTTTCTTAAGAGTTCCAAGTCTTAACACTAATATGGACCTACCCTATTAGAGTTGAATTGTGTCCAAGTTTCGGATATCAATATAAGGAATGTAAGGTCTTATCACACCTGTAGTTGAAACATTGACATCAATTCAGAGCTAGAGGAATTATTATTTTTTTTTTCCAGAACAGAGTGCTTTTATTAATCAGTGTTCTAAAGCTGCATGATATTATGTATGTGACAACTGTACTTAATTAATCATCCTGTCACTGGGCAGATTTAACCTTTAGCAACATTTTTATAAAGTATGATCACAAAAATGGTGCTGGTTTGTTTTTTGGTTTGGGTTTTTTTAATTTTTATTTTTTTTAGTTTTGTTCTGTGAACGTTTACTGTATTTACTGTACAAGTAAACAGTTCATTTGTTCAGCAACCTCAAGGCCCCTAGTATTCTTTTTTTTTTTTTTTTTAAATTGTTGTACGTCTAACAGGCTTTGTTTGTTCCCTGTAACATACAAACTTTGACCAGTTTTGAATTGAAGGCACTTTTTTTAATGCCTTGGTGGTAGGGGGCGTGAAGGCTATGTCTATGTTAGCAAGTATTTTAGATTCTATAAAGGTTAGTGCTGAGGCAATGCCACTATCTGCAGTGGTCGTTTTGGGAGAGGGAGTTGTTATTTTAAACTAGTTCCAGCCTAGCTGCATGAAATTAATGTCTGTTAACGGTCAGAGCCCGTCCTTGAGTTTAGTTTCATTCAAAGGGTGTGCAGCAGGTATGCTCGTGCTGCTCTGTGGTGTGATGAGATCCAGCAGGTAGTATGTGGGGACTCACAGAAGGTCGCTTTAGAAGGACTCTTGATGTTAATTAAAGTGCTAATGTAGATGCACTCATTAGGACGGGCAAGAGATGCACTGACAGAAGCCTCTGCCTCCTGAATGAGCTATATAAGCACCTACAGTGGAGTGCGTATTTTGCATAATGCACAAGACTTTTTCCACACTTTCTTAGTGTAAAGATAACACTGTCTTTCATCATAAGGATTACGTGAAATTTTAGTTCTCTTGTTAAACTGAAACGGAGTTTCATGGATAAAAATGTTATGCAATGATAAGAAAATCAGTCTCTGCCAGTGCTGAGTACCAGTCATATGTTTGACTTGGTGCCAATGTTTATTATTTATGAAGAAGAAAAAATCAAAACCACCACCAAAAAAAACCAACGAAAAAAACCCCAACAGAAAATAACTTATTTCTTTGTATCTGCATATTGTCTTCTTTCCTGGTCTGACACCAGCATTGTGATATCTTTTCTCAGTTATGCATTCATTAATGCACTATTAATATTTTAATTACCTGCCACAGTCCTTTTTGACATAACCAGATGGAAGAATTGTTGTGCTGTTCATTTAGATTAGTGTACTGTAGGATAGGATGCTATTTTAAAAAAAAGTTATAGCGTGCTTAGTAACATTTCAAGTTTTAAATGCGCACATGGAAGTTGAGTGTTATTTAAGTCATAATTCGATATATGAATATTACGTGTAGTAGTGCCTGTAGAGATTGATTATATGTATTGTCTTTTCATATTTTTCAAAAATATGGTTTAAAATTAAGAAAAGTATACTGTGAGCTGTACACTGCACTGATTCAAGCATAGAGAATAATTTAGAAAATTTGTTTAAATGGTCTTTTTATGTGATAAATGCTTTCTTTTTTTTTTTTTTGTTCTTTGTTAGCTCTCAAGTGCTGTGTGGATGCCTTGTGTCCTGTTCTTTTTTTAGTGTTTACCCTTGTGGGCTGACATAAAGAATTTTATCTGACACTAGAATTCTTTTGGGAATGTGATTTTAATTTTTTTTTAATATAGTTGCTTTTTCTTTTTGTTAGGGAGGAAGCTTTATTTTATCGTCTTCCAGAGGCCAGCTAGTTCGATTGATACCGGATAGTTCTGGCAAGATTCATCAGCATGCCCTGCCACAGGGCCAGGGCATGTTTTCTGGAATTGGTAGAAAGGTTTCTTCTCTTCTAGGTATATTGTCTCCTGGACATGATGCTGTGGTAAGCTTGAAAAACATTCATATGCTTTAATTTCTTTGTAATTTCTAGCCTCAGTGTTTAAGAAAGAAGCCTGTGTAAGGGTATATGATAACCAAAAAAAAGAGACAAGACTTAACTCATTTATGTTACTTATATTTCTTTGAAATTTGGAAGAAAGAGAGAAACCAAATAAATCTGTATGCTTTGTCAAGGAGAATGCTGACTTGCTCTTTAGATGTGAATAAAAGTAGCCTTTAAAGTAGTAATACTTCCTGGGGAACATGCAATGATTCAAAGTCTTGCCTCTTCCTAGTAATAGTCTCATTGCTACTTGAAGAAACTAAAAGTAACCTGTAATTTTACTTTTCTGATTTAGGGTGCCCAGGGATGGTGATTGGGTTGAGCTTTATCAGTGAATTCCACAGTTGGAAAGTATGAGAAACATACTTACTATAGATGTTCTTATATCTATAAAATAAGACTGCTCTTGGAAATTAGCGTAATACTCTCATCTTGTAGTGTAACTTGTGTAGGTTGTCCAAGGAAGGGATTTTTTTTTTTTTTCAGACTGAGAGTGGTGTAGATTGTTGTATCCAAATATTAAGGCTGTGCTTTAACCTTTTTAGCTTTTTCTTTTTTAAATGCAGATTTCTAGTGTTCTTTGGGATAAAGAGAGATCAAGCTTTTATATGCTAACAAGTTCAAATCTATATAAATGGGAAATTGATGATTCATCAGAACGTTATATTCTCAGCTGGGATATCAACAGGATCCTGAAAGAACATATTACAGATGCAATTTGGGTAAGAGCTAGCTTACCTGGAAGGGGTTTGTGTGTTTTTTTTAGTTAATAGCCTATTTATGTGTAGTTTTAAGTCAGTTGTGTTGGTTTTTAGGGTTCTGAAAGTAACTATGAAGATATTAAAGGAGGAGTAAATATACAATACATGGATTTGCAACAGAATCGGTAAGGAAGTACACTTGCATCTGGTAGGACTTATGTTAATGAGATACATGTGTTCTATTTTCTTGCAAAAACTTTATGTAAGTAATTGCAATTTAATTTTATTGAGTGTCACTGTTGATAAAATAAACACGTCATATTAGATAACTAGATTATCCTATACTTCACACTGTCGTTCTCTTTAGCATTAAAACTTTGTTACCTGAGAATAATTCCTTTCACTTTTTTTAGTGTCATTTTATTAGGTTTGGGTATTTGTTTTGTCTTGATATTACAAAGAGAGCAAATAAGCAATTGTAACTTGTTCCAGCAAATGCAAAGAATTCAGTATCTCTTGTATTTAATTTAATTACATAAAATCACAAGTGCCTTGGTTCAGTTTTATACTAAAGCATAAATACTATTAATAAAACAGTTCTTTAGAAAGAACAAATAGTATAGTCGTTCTTTCTAAAAATAATACAATATTGGAAAAGATTTATTTTTAATTGTACTTAAAGATCTTGGGTTTTGTGTGGTAGGGTGTGAGCAAGTAAAATATGTAATAATCATCTCCCAATGATGTGACATCTGTTGTTGAATAGCGATGGACTGGTGATACTTGCTGCAGCATGGCATCCTGGAGATCGTCCGTGTCTTGTCTACTACACTCTGATAACAGTAGAAGATAAAGGCTACCAGATGTCTGATGATGTTGTTGTGGAGGTCACACAGTATAATCCATCTTTTCAGGTATGCGAATGAACACTCTGAAACTGAGTTGAGAAAGCACGGTGTTTCAGAATATTCCTATACGTATGTCAGCTATGAGATTTTTGTCTAAAGGAAAATCAGGTTCTCTGTCTTAAGGTTGTTCTTGGAATATGTATTTGTAGTATTCTGAGGAAAACGTGTCCTAGCATCTTTCAGTGTTTAATAATAACTGTATGTAAACTTTACATTTTAAGGTATAACATAAACCCCCCTCAAAAATAGAATTCTAACCACCTGATTATTACTGATTTATTTTAATTTTTGTCCTGTCTGTGAAAGTTTCTACAGAGTAATTTTATGATATACTCATGCAGTCCACTTAAAACAGATTTCAGACTCTGTTGAGACCCTTGTAAGCAGGAAAAGGAATTAAGAAATCTGTGTGTTGGTCCTTGCTAGACAACTGGCTTGCTGGGAGGGGAGGACACGTTGGTTGTCCTTAAGTTACGTCATTTGTGCTATCTCTTCTAGAAGCATAAACTTGGGCATTAGCTAACTTTGGTAAATTTATTCCACTCTCCCCCCTCTCCTCTCTGCCTGTAATGGCATTTTAAAATTGAATCTTAACATGGAAGGAGAGTGAAAATTGTAGAATAATTGATCTGTTTACTAATTTCACATGGGAAGATAAGTAATAATTTGATATACATGGAATTAAAAAAACCCAGGAGCTTAAGTTTTAGGGCAAATTAAAAGTGGTTTGGTTTGGGTTTTTTTAGGTTATAAGTTATATCCGTATGTTCTTGTTAAAAATTAAAACAAATTCAGGCAACTTACATCTAAAATTTTAAAGGCTGATCTTTGTTTAAGGTTTTGATTGTACATGTGATATTCTTTGTATGTAATGCTTTCAGTCAGAAGAGGAAGCGTTGTGCTGTCTGGTAGTCCCAGATTACTTTAGCCATGCTGCTTACCTCTATAAGGAAGATGAAGTGTTTGCTTGTTCCACCGGAACTGGAAGAATTTCTTTACCACAGGAGAAAATCATATTTGGCATACAAGGTAACATGCAGGGGGGGAAAAAAATAATCGCATTTCATTGATACTTTCTAATTGAATGTTTTTACAGTATTTAGATTTCTCAGAGAGCAGAATCATATTTATGCTTCTTTTTATTAAATCTTTCCAGTTGAGAGTTTCTCATGAGCGTATGGAGAAAACGCTGACATGACATAGAATCATAGAATAACATCCAGTATTGTTATCACTTACTCTGCAGTGGTTTTGGATGAAAATGAAGTATGCTATATGAAGGAGTAGGGGTTTTGTTTGTGGGGCTTTTTGCCCCCCCTCCCGCCCCCCCTTTTTCTCCCCTTCTCCTCCCCCCATTTACTGTGGGTGTTGGGTTTTTGGTTTTGGTTTTGGTTTTTCCCCTTGAAGTTAAGTTTGTGTTGAGACTTAGCCTAAAATTCATAGTAGGTGCCTGTGTCAGATGTCTCTGTCATCCTTGACCATCAGAGGTGTTTTCAAGTAGGACATGCACATCAGTCCGTAGGTAGAATTGGAACCACCTGAATCTTGATTATTTTTTTTTCTTCTTTGTTTCTTTAAACTTGCAGTATGTGGAAACCTGCTTCTTAAGTAGCAAATAGTATCCATAATTTCTGTAAGTCAGGTGCAGCTGTCAGTAACTGTTAGTTCCTTCATGACAAGATTTAATAATTGTGAACTGCTACATTTTGTTCTTAAAGTGGCATTTATGTGCTTTTTTTCTTCCCTCATCGTAGGAGATAGCATTTTAGGAGCAGGTTCCTGTATTAGCCTTCCTATCTTCTTTACCAAAAAAAGTGGACTTCTCACCATCTTGTCCAGGGAAAACATTTCTGTGCTTCCTGAAGACCTGGAAGAATCCCTGTCCTCTTCTGTTGCTGGACCAAGAAGTGAGGTAATGGTTGTTTCCTTGGCTACTTGAAAACTGAGGGTAGAAATAAAATGTTTTTTATTACTGTGAAAATCCTAGCTTATTTGAGTTGTAAAGGATTTTTTTAAATAGAGACTCAAACACTTGTAATGAAACCTAAGAAATTTTACATCATCTGCTGGTTTGAGTAACTTTTTTGTATTCTTTTTTTTTTTGAAGTTGACATTTCTATGAAATTTGTATTTTTTTTCATGTAGATGTATGTCACTATATAACACTAAAAAAGTTGTTACAATATATAAATATAACACTTAAATTGTTTTTGTGGCTGATAGTACTCATGAATAACTTTTAAATTCTGTCAAAAATGGTGGGTTTGAATGTTCAGATATTTAAAATTACTATAGACTGGTGAAATAAGTTGGCATAAATTCTTTTTGCAGTTTATGTGAATTTTATTAATATGCTTGAGGTCAAACCCCTGTGTGACTTTCATTGTAATGTATCTTGTGGGCTTATGTTTAGCTTAATAAACACAACCACTTCCAGGTGGCATTTGTTTTTTTAAAATCTGTGTTGCTGCTACTTAGAAAGATTGTTTTAATTTCATGATGAAGATTGATATTTGTCTTTCAGCTGAAGTTTTTACTTTGCATTTTCAGAGTCCTGCGTTTGATGCAACCAGTAGGCTTGAAATTACAGCTCAAGAAGATAAGGCTAAATTACTGAAAGCTGCTTTTCTACAGTACTGCAGGTAGAAACTGCACTTGGTTTTTGCGGCTTTGTTTGCTATTCTTGAAGGCACTCTGATATTTGAGTAAGAGATTGTCTTGGTAAAGATACTCCTGTATTGTTTTAAGTAAAAGCTATTCTAATGATACATGTACATCTTCATTAGGAAAGTGTTAGATACATCTTGAGCTAGTGAAGGAGTGATATGTGCTAGAAAGGAGCAGACTTGTATAATCTTAATGACTTTTCACTTACCCGGCATAAATTCCGTGATGTTACATTACTGCCAGTGAAACAACTTTAAACTTTGTTATTTTCACTTCTTTTAGTAAGTGGTGTTTTGTTGTTAAATATTCTTTCCTTTTCTTCTTCACTTTTATTTGCATAGCTGTTTACAGTAATACTTTTGAATATGTTTAATTACTACTTATGCGGCCATGAAGAATAACTAGCATGGCAGATTCTGTGGCAAGATGGTATCTTTTTTTTGGATTGACTGATATGGGGGGAGTGGAAGGAAATACATGTTCGTCAAACTATCCCGATTAAAGCAACCTGACTGTTGGGAGGCATGCAGTGCCTGTGAAAGGTTTGATGTAGACAAGAGTGATGTAAACACGGGAGGAAAAGGAGAGATGAGAAGGTAAACGGAGCTGTAGACTTAGTTTAACTCTATTTAGAGGGGATTGCTTTCAGTATATATTTATTTAAAAAAAACCCTCAACCCACAAACCTTCTTACAACTAATCTCCTTAAAGAGTCTTAAAACTTGGAAAGAACAGATTTAAGTAACAGGAAGTAGGAGTGCTTTTGACAGAGCTGCATGTGAGGCAGAAGATTATGAAGGGGATTAGGTGCATATAATAAAGGGTATCAAGACGAGATGTGTAAACATGCACAGAATTTAGAAATAAAATCTATATGTATTCCCAAGTGGACATGTCAGTATACAGAACTGCGGTTGAAGATGGTTGTAGTCCTGAGGTGACTGGAATAGCTAAGGTCTGAGAGCACAGGTAACGAATACGAAAGTCGATATCACTGAGGATGTGAACAAGGGGGTTGGAAACAGGGTCAGAAGAAAGTAGGAGATAGTAAGGAAAACAATGTCAAACAGTATGAAAGTTTAATGTTATTTTGATTGATTAAAACCTGCGTTATATTTATGAAACTAGAAGAAGTTAATTATTTGATGTCTATAGTATTGATTCAGATTTTTCCAGAAAAATAGTATGGTAAAATGAATGGGGAAATCTTCCACAGAACAGATGTAGCAATGGCCTGTCCGGATGACCAAGTAGTTGATGCAGAGCAAATAATGGAAGGTTGTTTAATAGAAGATTAAGTATTCCAGTTTTTAAAAGTATAGTTTGTTTTGGTAAACCTTTGTGCGTTTTCTGGATGCCCTGCTGTTTTTTATTTCAAGATACCTTGGTCATAGAAACATTCAAACTGAAAGCCCCACAAAAGTTAGAAGTATTTCCAAAATCAGATAGTATATTGGAATCACAGTATCCCTTCTCAGTCAGAATACTATAATTTTTCGTCACAAAATTAAATCAGTGCTTTTGTGAATACTGCGTACTTGCGTAGAGTTCTTCAGTACAACTTCATGCGTTGGAGATTTAAGCATTTGGATGCTTATTACCCTTTTACTTACTGACCTGAATAGAGAAGGATTCTCTGAAGCGTTTTCCTGGGAGCTTTTACTCTATTGCCATTTGTGGGAGTGATTACGTGTACTCTTGGGAGGATTTTGAAGCAATCAATAGAAATTTGGTGACTTAGCTACCAGAGACACCCAGACTTAGCTCTGTGTGGTGCATCTTTTCTCTTAAATAGTAATAATAGGGATAATAAAATAAAAAGTGATTTGAAACACTTTGTGGCTTGTGCTTTTTTGCTTTATAGACTGTGCAGTCTACTTGCTTTAAAACAATCAGAATACCTTTTGTCCATAGAATCAGTAATTTAAAGGTAGCCCAAATGATGCTTGATGTTTGTAATCTAAAGCACTTTACAAAAGGTCTATCAGAAAATCCTACTAATGGAGTGGTTCTTGTTTCTATAATCCTATCTATTGTTTTTATTTCACGTACTGTGTATTTCTTTTATTTCAGGAAAGATGTCATCAATGCACAAAGCATGGTAGTTGAGCTCTTTCCAAGTAATGCAGATCTGGATTCTGATGCTGAACTGGATAGGGCAGTGACTCGGATCAGTGTGGACTTAATGGATGATTATCCTGCCTCTGATCCAAGATGGGCTGAATCTGTACCTGAAGGTAAACATAATGGTATGGAGGGAGGTTGTTGAGGTTTTGGTGTTGGTTGCATCGTGTTGTTTGAGTTTGTTTTGTTTTGTTTTTTTTTTTATTGGGGAGGGGGGAACTGTCTATAGTACTCTAGATAAAATCACAGTTTAAGCTTTGCAAAAAGGCATAGGTGTCCCTTGCCCTCTTCCACCACTAGATATGTTTTCAGAAAGGTTAAAAGATGCATCCCGTGGGATTGCCAGATAAACTTGCAGTCTACTGTGATTAGTTCTTGACTTTATATAGAAAACACAAACAGCAAAGAAAAGGGTACATTTCTGAGAAGGGTACTCTATGCAAGGAACAGTTGGTGTCACTTTCATGTTTCCATGATTCCTTGGACCAATCTAAATTACTTTCCACGAATAGGTATGTTGAGAGAAAGAGTTTGTTTGCTCATGCTTAGCCCTTTGTTAACATGGCTGCGCAGCTTCTGTTAGGCTTGGATCCTGAGTGAGCTTCTGAGTAGAGTAAGCTTCTATCCCTCTGGGGCATTGGTATTTGTGTCTGCCAGAAAGAGGACTGGAGAAATTTATTTTGGAGTATTTGTTGTATGGAAAGAGTTAAAGCAGACATGTTTTCAGCAAGCAACTTTGTTCACGCTTCCCTGTCTCTTATGAAGAGTGTTAATTTGAAACTGTCCCCAGGACCTCTAGGCAGCAGTTGCCAGTTACTGAGCAGAGACTGAGTTTGAGAGTTCGTGTAGTAAATAGTTACAGATGGATGATGCTTCCTGCTGTTGTTTCAGTGTGGCAGCCAGTTAGAAATTGTCAAGCATCAGATACTTAGTATTTTCTGAATCAACTTTCTAATTCGCCAGCTTATCTGCATTTTTTCCTGGCTAAAGCAAGAAGTGAAAATTGATAGCTTCTTGGAAATAGTCTTGCTAATTTTGCTCATAGTGATAGTTCTTGTGAGTTTTTGTATCTTGTTAGTCTTTTGGTTTAAAGCACACTTAGAATATACAAAAATTCTGAAATGGGAAAATCATTTGGGCTCCAGAGAACTCTGCTAAGGTGAGATATTTATACTCATAGCATTGCCTAGGTTGGAAGGGACCTTTAAGATCATCGAGTCCAGCCATCAACTTAACACTGCCAAAACCACCACTAAACCATGTCCCTAAGTGCCGTGTCTACATGTCTTTTAAATACCTGCAGGGATGGTGACTCCACCACTTCCCTGGGCAGCCTGTTCCAGTGCTTGATAACTCTTCCGGTGAAGAAATTTTTCCCAATACCCATAGTAAACCTCCCCTGGCGTAACTTGAGGCCATTTGTGGGGAAGCTTTCATCATCCTTACTGACTCCTTTAAGGACCAGATTGTCCAGACTGAAATGTTATCTGACTTTTCATATGCAAGCTCGTTTGAGGAAGAATAAAAGTAGAGCGGTGCTGGGCAACCACTTACCTTGTGCAGTGGAACTGTGCAGAGTCAATTACGCTTGAATGCTTGTCAGTGCTATTCTGTAGTACCCTGTGGCCTACAGCATAATAAATTTAGCAATAGCTAGTCCACAGTGAAGATAAAAATTGGAATCTTAATCTTACTGAAACTTGAATAAGCTGGTGAGCTGCTATTTTAGCAGCGTAATGGATTGAGTGCTTCAGAATAGTTGTACTGATTTAAAGATACTTGATTTCTTCTAAAGACTTTACTTCAGCTATGACAGATTTCAAAAACCACATTAAAAATAGGATGGTAAGCAATATATAAATGTGTTTGCATATATTTTAAAAAGTAACAGTGCAGTAACACTATAGAAACTTATAGAAATACGTTTACCTCAGCGGCAAAAAAAAAAGCGTATCGAAGAAATGAAGATATCAAGTGCTCTTACCTAAGATTTTTTTTCTTTTTAGAAGCAGCTGGTTTCACCAACACATCTCTCATTCTTCTTCATCAGCTAGAGGATAAAACAAAAGCACATTCCTTCTTCATTGAGTTTCTTCATCAGGTAAAATTCTATTGTTCTTTTGGTATCAGCACCCATAGTAGAGTATTATTTTGTCTTAAAGTAGCTCTTCTGGAACATTGTTTAAAGTGCATGTGATGGTTTGTGGTTTTTTTTTTTTTATTTGTTTGTTTTAATGAAAGGTTGGTGTGTTTGAACGTCTGGGCAGTTTTCCAGTACGAGGGATGCCAATGGCAACTCGGTTGTTGCTCTGTGAGCACGCAGAGAAGCTAGCAGCAGCTATTGTTCTCAAGAATCACCACTCGAGGCTGCCCGATCTAGTGAATGCTGCTATACTGATCGCATTAAACAAAAGAGAATGTGATGTTCCACCAAGTCTTACCGCTGCAGATGTGTTCTTTCGAGAGGTAAGAAACCTGTTATTTCTGAATCATTGTGTAGTATTGCATGTAGTAAAAGTTGCAGTGCATTAATATGTACTTTGAAACTTTTCCCTGTAAAGGGAAATTGTATAAAGTTGAATTGATTTTTTAAGTAGGGATGGTGTGGTAGTGTTTTTCCTCACTTTAGTATACGTGCTTTTTTATGCCTGTAGCTGAAGCATGAATTCTGACAAATTTCGTATAGCATAAGTAAAGTTGATATGATTGCTGACTAACCTACGTGGGTGAGCAATGAAAAAGACCAATGACGTTCTTTGGCACATCAGAAAACATATGCTAAATTATCATTTTTAAGGGGTGAACTGAAGTGTATGAAGCTTTCTAGATAGGAGAGCCACTTTGATGCACTGCCCTGGATGGAATTGTATCAGTTCAGTCTCTTATAATTTTTTGTAGTCTCTAACATTAGTGAGTGTAAGCTAGTTCTCCATTTATGCCGCATTCTAGTCCAGCACCCAGTCTTTATTTCTTTCTTCCTTCTTGAGAAGAACTATACACAAAACATTTATTCTTACAAGTTTTTTCCTGTAGAGGACAGTAGTTGCTAATGGAGAAAAATAAATATAAAAGAAAATAGAAGTAATACTCTGCTATTTTAAAGCAGGTATGTTATCCAGTATACTTTAGCTAACAAAGGTTCTACTGCCAGATGTTTCAGAAGGATATGGAGGAATATGCTTAATAAAAGTTTATGGAGTTGCCTTCAAAAAAAGATGATTTCTTTTTTACTTCCAGATTTAAGTCTAGAAATAAGGCAATTCTTGTATTCAAAGTATTGTATGAAATATAAGATAGTGTTTTCTTTATCCGTTTGAGTAGTTGATACCTTTTAATATTTTTGGCTATTGATGTGGTTTCTACTAATATGTGTTTATTTTTCTATACAACTCATAACTTGGCTTTCAAGTATCAGCTGGTAATGGATATGTTTGTGCTCAGTGCAATTTTTCTTTCTGTCTTTAAGGTGTCCCAGATAGATTCCATCTTTGAATGCTTACTAGAAGAAGAGGAACAAATCCTGAAAGATATGCCTATGGAATCAATTGAGTGGGCCCAGATAGTTGTCAATGTGAACATCATCATTAAGGTATAGAATTCCATTAACTCTTAAAATGTTTGTGGGAGGGGAAGTTAAATATTGAAGAGCACCCAACAAGTTCAGTGCAGTACATCTGAGTTACTGATACGAGAACAAAAGTGAACACATTTTTCACAAGTGCAAATAATTAGGAAGGAAAAGATGGTCTCATGCAGAATTAGGGACATTCCTTTTCCTCCTAAGCCACTGCTAAAGAGAATTTGAGAAGTTGCAGCATTGTAGGCAGATGTGAAAACATGAGTACATAGCAAGGAGTGAAGAGCTTATGCTTGAGCACTGAGGTTTCTTGCTCGGTCAGTGTGTGCTCTTCTGTACAACTGAGAAAGTGGTGTAGAAAGAAGGGGGATATTAAAAGAATGTTTCAGAATTAGAAAAGACAACATCTTTTATGGTCTGTGTATATGCAGGTAGACTTTAAAGTACTTATGTCCTTGCCTTTAAATAGGACATGCTACAAGCTGCCTGTCAGTATCGTCAATCTAGAGCCTCCTTATATAAAACAGGAGAGCTTCCAGAAGGAGAACCGGAATATATTCCATGGACAGGTGAGAAATTATTGTTACTAGTAGTTTATTAATTATTGATACTAAAGAAAAATATTTTTCATGAGTTTCAGAACTGAAGAATTTTAATCTGACTGCTAAACTTACTGTTAAAAGCTGCTACAAGGTTGTCAGTAAGAACAGGAGAAGCTAAAGGTTTCATTTGGTGAATGACATGGAATGAATCAATGAACACTTATTTTGTCCAGTATTGATGATAATTCTTTAAAATTTGTATTACAAATTTGACTACAAAAACAAAGCTTGGGAGACAAAATTAATTACAAAGTTAATTTCTTATTTTTTATTATGCACTGGTTCTGGTTGGCAGACCTATGGGATACATAAAGTTAGAATCACTGAATGGTCAGGGTTGGAAGGGACCTCTGGAGATCATCTAGTCCAAGCCCCCGCCAGAGCAGGGTCACCTACAACAGGTTGCACAGGACGGCGTCCAGGCGGGTTTTGAATGTCTCCAGAGTGGGGGACTCCACCACCTCTCTGGGCAGCCTGTTCCAGTGCTCCACTACCCCCAAAGTAAAGAAGTTCCTCCTCATGTTAAGATGGAACTTCCTATGTTCAAGTTTGTGCCCGTTACCTCTTTTCCTGTCACTGGGCACCACTGAAAAAGACTGTTCCCATCCCCCTGGCACCCTCCCTTTAAGTATTTGTAAGCATTAATAAGATCCCCCCCTCAACCATCTTTTCTCTAGACTAAAGAGACCCAAGTCCCTCAGCCTTTCTTCATATGAGAGATGTTCTAATCCCCTAATCATCTTCGTAGCCCTTTGCTGGACCCTCTCCAGCAGATCCCTGTCTTTCTTGAACTGGGAAGCCCAGAACTGGATGCAGAACTCCAGATGTGGCCTCACCAGGGCAGAGGGGGAGGATGACCTCCCTCAACCTGCTGGCCACACTCTTCTTGATGCACCCCAGGATGCCATTGGCCTTCTTGGCCGCCAGGGCTCATTGCTGGCTCATGGTCATCCTGTTGTCCACCAGGACTCCCAGGTCCCTCTCCACAGAGCTGCTCTCCAGGAGGTCAGCCCCAACCTGTACTGATGCATGGGGTGAGAATGAATCATAAGATGTGATCTACAACTATTCTAAAAGAACTGATGATTTTTGACTTTTTTAAGTGTTTTATTTTGATGGTTTAATAACAGGAAAAACTATCAGAACAAATATTTGTAGAAGCAAGCACTTTCCAGTTGATGCTTAAGCTTCACTGCAGCCTCTACGCATAAAACACACTTGCTTAGTGCTCCCAAGATAAATATCTTTTGAAAAGCAGGACCCGTGCAAGCTATTTTGATGTATTATGTCTTGATGACTATGTCAGGCATTTAAATCAGGTTAACAGAAGTTGCCTTTTCCTTGTGTGTATTCTCTACTTTGCTTACAGATTGTGCAAGCAATTCTTTTCTTCTGAAAAATAGCTGGTATTGATAGTTGACAATGTAGATCTGTGTAGTTCAGGTGATTTTGTTTCTGTTCTTTTTTGTTTACTACCTTTTGGCCAAATTTAATATGTAAAGGTAGATGGGAGTATGTGTTTGGTTTGGAGGTGGTTATTTTTTAATAGTATTGCTTTGATTTTTAAAATTAAAATGTTTATTAGCTTTTTTCTTTCTATTTTTTTTAATTATATATAGTAATATTTTTGTTATACTTCAGCATAGACTCCTGTGGGGATAGGATTATTTTTTTTTTAATGCTTACTGTGTTGTTTTCCCAAGCATCTAGTGGCATTCGTACAGCAATAATGCGTCAGCATGGAATCATTCTGAAGATAGTGTATCCCCAGGTGGACAGTAACCTCCGTAGCATTGTGGCTGAACAGTTGGTGGCACTACTGGATTGTCTTCTAGATGGCTATGTTTCTCAGCTGAAATCCGTGGACCGCCCTGCTGATCAGGAGAGATACAGCACTGTGGAAATGGAATATGTGCAGAAAAGATCGGAACTCTTGTCTCCTCTTCGTAAGTACTGTCTGTTCTCCTTAATGCAAGGATTAAATGTTCTATTCGATGAGGAAGCGATGCAGATCTGATGGAGTAAATGGCATCTGTGTATTAATTCCATTTGCTCTACATGTTTGCCTTTGGAGTATAAATGACTCTTTATGATTTAATGGGATATCTACAAAATAACAACAGATTACAGACTTGCATCCAAGACTGCACCCATGCCCATACCTATAATAAGACACGTTGCTGCGTCAATTTTTTTCTTTTGCTAACTTGTTACATTTTTCTGGCAGGAATTTATCTTCTGCCAGCTGGCTGAAAATAGCCTATAAATGGATTTCTAAATGTTTGTATTTTTGCTAGTTGACATAAAGTTACATACCTGAAAGTTTGTTTAGTGTTTATCAAGAAAAAGTTACTTTTCAAATCTTGATTGTTTAATAATCAAACCTGCTATTTAACATGTAAGATGTTGTCAAGTCTTTAATGAGTAATTGAAGGCAAAGACCCCTTGATAAGTGGAAATAACTCTGAGCAAATACATTTTAGTAAGCTTATAAATTATTTTTTTTTACTAAAAATGAATGCTATAAGTAGAACAGTCTAATAATCACTGCCTTTTAACATTCTTAAACCTTAAGAAAAGTCTCTTAACCTATCATTCAGTTTTACTGACATTCATGTGCTCTGTTAGCTTGTAAATACATTTTTTTATCATTATGTTCAAGCTACAGTTGTATTTCCTTAAAAACAAAGTCATGTTTTGCTAATTCTTATGTATTTGAACCTGAATGAAAGATTTTAAAGAGTAGTATTTGTGTTCAAAATATGTTATCTTTACTTGTTCTATTTGTTATCAAAAGTCTTTGCCTGGTGCTTTGTCACTTTGTGTAATTAAGTGGATATTATAAGTTAATTTTTTCCCCCTTTCCCCAAAAGCACTGTAGCAGATGCTGCTGATTTGCAGAGAAAATAGGATGTATGCTGGTGATTTAGTTCTAAACGTCTCTTCTTCCCTCTTGTGTTGGGGGAGAGAGGTGGTCGGTGTGTGAGCTTGTGGGCACAAGGCATGGGTGCGCTGAGGTGAATGTTTCTTTGGGAGAATGCATAGGTATCTCTGTGGTGTAGACACTTGAAACTTGTTTTCATTTTTCTGGTCTCTGCTCTCAGTCATCCAACAGCCAAAGATAAGCTTGTTTGATACAACTTCTTTTTCTTCTTGTTTGCTTAGTTTCCCTGGGACAGTATCAGATGGCAGCTGCTTTAGCAGAGAAGTACTGTGACTTTGATATCCTGGTGCAAATGTGTGAGCAGACAGACAACCAGGCCAGGTTACAACGTTACATGAGTCAGTTTGCAGATCAGGTAACTCTTTTTTTTTTTTCCCCTAATTCCTTTAGATAGTGTGTTATAATATATTTGTACCTGAAATGGTGTGGAAGTTATGACTGGGGGGAAAAGGGTCTGCTTTTTAATGCATATGTATTTACATATGCACACGGGGTAATGTGGAAGACTGGAGTCAAGATTCACTGTGCAGAACTCAATGGTATATTTTACCCTGATACTGCAAAACAGGTTGGCAAAAATACGGGTGCTAGCTGTACAGGCAGTGGCTTTTCATGGGACCTTTTCTGTGCCTCAGACACATTGTCTCACTCCTAACATCTTTTGGAACTTTGTGACTTGGTCACTGAGGTGCTGTAGTCAGTGTACTGCTGTTTTATTAATCTAATGTAATGTAAATTTAAGGATAATTTCCAAAAGAGAAGATGAGATTGTTTAATGTATAAATAGAAAAGTAGTTAAGCAGAGTAGGAAGACAGGGATGTTGCTGTGGTCTTTTTTTATTGTCCTGCCAGGTACTTGTTGGACAACTTTTCAGTGTCTGTCAAAATCTGGTGTAAAAACACTTAAGTGTCCTGAAAAATTGGAAAGCTTAAGGAAAAGGCAATAGAGACGGCTTGAGGTGAGGGGGACTGGGACAAAAGTTTCCTCATTTTAGAGCTGGTGAGATTACTTGTTTTAGCTTTCCACAACAACTATGGAAAGAGAAATCCTTCAACAGGTTTCCTAATAAAGAGAGTCCAGAAAGGTTGTTTAATAAGAACAAGCAAAAGTATTTTTAATAGTGAGGGTTAAATACTCACACATCTCATACATGCTGCGAAGGAAGGGGATACATTCTGTTTGTCTCTTCAGTTCCTTTACTTTTTTCCTTGTTAAAAAAAAAAAAAAAACCACTTTCTGAAAAGAAGTTACTTTAGTGAATGTAGAGCTGAACAGATCAAGTCTAATGGATAGACTGTCAGACTGGTGGCCTCTTCGGACTTTATTTTTTAAATTGCTAATGCAATTAAAATTTATCATTATTCTAAAATTACTCTGAAAAGACTAAGTTAAATCTCAAACATAAACCGTGATTAGTTATGTCACATTGAAGTTTTTGAGGATAAAATAGGTGGTGTTTTAAAAAAATACATTAGTTTTTAACAACGACTGAGAGAAGTAAGGTTGTAGGTTCAGCTGGAGATAGGAGGGAATGTTTCAAAAACAGTGACAGCAGAAGCAAACTTATATGAAAGGAAGTAGTAGGCACAGAGTTCTGAGAGGGGGAAAGGAACAGGTAAAAAAAAATAAGATTAGAACTGTGGGTTATGTGATACCTGTTTCCATTCTTGTGGGTTAACACAAAGAATTTACATTTGGCACTTCCTTCACTTCCATTGAAGGATAAACCCTGTTGTGTGTATCAGCATCTCTTGCACTGTAGCTGGTGAATTCTTGAAATGCCATTTCTATCAAAACTCTTAAGTTTTTTCGTCAACAGTATGCTATTTCTTGTGTGTGTGTTTCTTGTTTTGTTAAGCAGGTTCTTACTATGTTCCTACCAATTGTATTTTATGAAACATTTTGCCTTAGAAGACAAACAAGATATTTAAATGTGATTTTTTGAATTCTACTCATATTCTTGTTATCTTCAGAATTTTTCAGATTTCCTGTTTCGCTGGTATTTAGAGAAAGGAAAGCGAGGGAAGCTGTTATCTCAGCCTATTGCTCAGCACGGACAGCTGGCCAGTTTCTTGCAAGCTCATGAGCATCTGAGCTGGTTACATGAGATCAATAGTCAGGATTTGCAAAAGGTAGGGTTTCTTAATACAACCAAACTGAAATATCATATTTTAAATGAGTCAAGTACATACTCAGGTAGGCAAATTGTGTAGTTCTGACTTCTCATTATCAAAAGAAGACAACTTACCTAGACGACTTAAGGGGGAGATGACATGGATCGTTAATGGAGAACAAGACGCCTCCCTCCAGGCACCATCTGGTATATCATATAAGCCACTGCACCATGTAATGGATATTAGGGCTGCTTTTCATCCCTTGTTGGTGACTAATATTTTGTATCACGAAAGCTTTATATGGCTACATGATCACCACTTTGGTGGAATTGAGAGTTTACAGTGAAAATTAATAGCGTTATCAGATTATCCATCAAGGGAAAATCTGAAATTTATATTTCGAAGCAAACTATTTAAAGCAAAGAAATTTGGCGGTATCACAAAAGTAAAAAAGGTATTGATTACTTTAATCACATATATTCATAGTATAAAAGCAGTATTTTTTTAACAGCTAACGTGCCTGTGGCTAGGTTAACTTGATACTGTTTTTAAACTGGATTCTTTGTTGCCTTTTAGGCTGCCCAGTTAGTCTTGCCCTACTTCCTGTTGGTCAGCGTTCCCTTCCTTCTGCTAGATTTGTGAATGTATTTCACTTTAGCAAATAAACTAATTCTAAAGAAAAATGGCTTCTTTCAATCTGTGTGCACGTTTATTAAGCATGCAGAGCATGGAAACATTTATCCTACTGCAAATTACAGTCAATAATACTTTATGCCCCTGAAAAAAAACCTACACAAAAACCAGCAAAACCCCCCAACCAACAACAACAACAAAAAAACCCTTAAAACCTACCTTGAGAGTCTTGTAATATTCTATTTTTGTTGACTGAGGTTTTGTCTTTTATAGTAAAGTACTATGAATAGGGGACATGGATTCTAAAATATACTAGTAATTAAGTCTGGATAGGTTATTTCTGAGTGGGTGCTCAGAAATTTTTTGTTTCTTTGTCTGACAGACAAATTCTTGACTAAATGGCAGGTTATTTCTGAGTAGGTGCTCAGAAATTTTTTCTTTATCTGACAGACAAATTCTTGACTAAATGGTTACTGTAGTGGTTATACGTATAATTCTGTTTTTCAGATTCCTGAATTAACAAGTAAATCAATCTGTTTGCAAAGTTTTCCTGTCAAAGCATATTTGCCTGGCTTTTATGGCAAAGCCTTGAATAAGATCCCAGAGGTATAATACATGAAGTTGCAATTTATCCTTTGATCATAAGATAGTTTTTCTTGATTAGCATTGAAAATGGTTTTTGGGTATAATTGGAGTAGAGATTTATATCTCTTCCTGAAGAGTGTAATGCAGAGTTTTAATGTGCAAGTTGTATGACTTTTAAAAATAAGGGTTATAGTATTGCAAACAGTAAGTAGCTGTGAGTCTGCAGCTCAGATTAAATCCTCATCTGTTAACCTTCTGATGTTAAGTTCTAAACCTGATTTCTAACATCTTTATTAATTTCAGGCTCACAGAACATTGCAGACTTTAGCAAATATGGAGACCCGATATTTTGCAAAGAAGAAAACACTTCTTGGCTTGAGCAAATTAGCTGCACTGGCATCTGACTTCTCAGAAGATATACTGCAAGAGAAAATAGAAGGTGAGAAATAAAAACAGAGCAAAGCGAGGAATAGACTAATGAAGTAACTGAAATGGAATCATGTTAATTTTGCAGATAGTTTATTTGGCTGAGGGCTCTAACTTAATGTCATAAGGGTAAATGGGCTGATGATTTTGCTCATTGCAGGAAGGATAAGGAAGACAGCACAAGGCGGTAACCTTAGTATTCACTTTCACCTGAGACTTAGGACTATAAGCAAGGGAAATTTGTATCTTCACTTTTTTTAATGACACACAAAATATTGGTATAAATAACAAGCTGCACAGTCTTTTTGAGAAGTCATTAGAAAGTTCTGAAGTAGGTGAAGCTGCATCTTGTATTTCAGATGCAAGGTAGAAATTATTTAATTTCTTAGAGTGTATATATTGAATGGCTCTCAATTTTGAATTCTCAAGTCCTGAGACTCTTAGGCTGTACAAGGAAATCCTGTAACTATGTTGTGATAATGTATCTGCCAACATATACATTTGTCATCAAGAAGTGCTTTCTCAGCATCTTACTTTCTCTGTGTCTAGAAAGGTTACAGTGACAGTGTTTTGTTATGCTGTATTATTTCTGTATGACACATGACATAGCTTTTAAAACTTATGCTCTTTGTGTATTGGTTTTCTATTGATAAAGAGTAATTATTTCTGCTGCATTCTGCTTATCCATTTAAACATATAAAATGCTCCTTTCTACCATGCAGTAGAACTTGGGAGGCAGGGAGCGCTAGGTTCACATACCGTGGTTGAAATTATTCCATTTTGATAGTTTCCACCTAATAAGTTTATAAACCTGAAGCAGATTATACTGGAAAATAAACCAATCCAAAATGGAATAACTCATGAGATGGAACAGGTCCATGGTACAAGTCTTCGGCCAAATGGTTGTTCCTAAAAATTGCAACCAACTTACTTTACTGCATAGTGCAACAGCTTCCCCCCAGTCCTACATATTCATTTTGTGGTTTTGAGAAAAAGGAAGAGTTACCAGTCTGCATTACACTGGAAGCTGGAGTGGAAAGTAAGAACTAGTTCACCAGGATGACAATATTGAAGTGGAAGTATTTCTGTGCTTCACGAGCATAGATAAGTGCTGAAATAGAATGCATCATAACAAACAGCTGTAGACCTGAATAATATTGTGACTTGACAGTTATTACTGTGCCATAGAATTTATTATTACATTTTAATAACACAAAACATTCATTTCCTTAAATGACTACAAGAAATATCAGAACAGGAACGCTTTCTGTTACATCAGGAGACGCTCCCTGAACAATTGCTGGCAGAGAAACAGTTGAACCTCAATGATATGCCAGTGTTGTCTGCATCTCAGCTCATTGATGTAAGTATTTCATGTTTTCTTCATTACACAGTTAAAGTTCCAGTGTGTTTTCTGTCTCTGTGTGATAAAATAAATGAGATCACATCTGTCTTTATCCCTTACATGACTTGCTAAGCACCTAAAGATCTGATATATGAATTTGTTTATCTTTGCCTAGATTTTACTGGCACCAAACTTCAGAATGCTGGTTTTACTTCAGATTTCTTTTTGTTGAACGTGTGCTTTAGAGCGCTGCTAGGAGAAAAAGCACATCAAATCAGTGCCAGAAGTTGATTTACTGGTCTAAGCCAGTTTTTGGATATGAGACAATTTTTACCTTCTGTTACATTCTCAGTAGGGCAGAATTTGGAAGGCAGAAGGAACAAAGAATTTCACCTTAGTGGAGAATGATGCTGCAGTCTAGAAAAAGAAAGGGTTAGAAGCAGGAAGAGGCTTTGGATCACCTGCTGCAAAGAGGCACACAAAGTCTTTCTACTTTTTTTTTTTTCCTTCTTTTTCAAAATCAAACCAAAAAACCCACAACCCATACTGAAACAAAAACATTAACTGCTCCAGTACTGGGATCACTAATAGCGCTGACTCCCTTTCCATACCCCTTTTCGGTGGTAGCCAGCAACCAGTAGCCTTATTTCTGCCTTGTTGGCAGCATATTTTTACCATCCAGTGATGTGCACAAAAAATACTCAGTAAGCAACAATGTGCTGTAAAAGAAATCAGGTCCTGCCTACGTGTCAATTTTGCAACTCCTTACTTTTCCTGTAATCCTGTGGAAAATCAAAGGCTGATAGTGTGCTTGTTTACATTTTGCTCATTTTCTTAGAACAATGGTAATAGCAGATTCTGAAATCATTACCTCTATCATCAAGTGAGACTGTCTGTGGAATTAGGGGAGACTAGGAAGTGTCTTGGCAAGCGCTGGCACCACGACAGTTTTCATTCTGAATTCTCTCTATTGTCAAACCAGCGTTCATGCTTGCTAATTGCAATGTGAGAATGAAACTTGGGAAGTGTAAAAAGAGAGAGTTAATTTTCCTTTAAAATACTAATTTGGACTTTTGTTGGGGAGGGAGGGATGAAATATTGATAGCAAACTTGTCTGGTTTTAAAAGGTGAAAGGCAGTACGTGCGCTTAAGTTCTGCTTTGAGCTTAATTACCGAAATTATTCTCAGAGCTTATTTGTGGAGCTGAGCTCTGGCTACAATAGTCCAGGAATGTTACAGCCTTAAATGGCATTTAAATTTGAAACCTAGCAGCCTTATATCCAATATCGTTTGTCCACAGACCATTGTCATGTAGGTGGAATGCTGCTCTAAAACCTTAAGTATATTCCTTACTATAAAAATACTTGTGGTTGAATCAAGACATATTTTCATGAGAAGGTCATGTAAGTGGAAAATACATGGTGGTCTTCCCACAATGAGTTGTCCATGATATCAGTTACATTCGTTTGTAGGCTAAAAATAATTCTCTACGTTCATCTCTCATATCATAGATGTACATATGTGACGAGAACAGAAGGGCCAATGAGTATGACTTCAAGAAAGCACTTGATCTACTGGAATATATTGATGAGGTAGGAAAAGTTTTTGAAGGATTTCTAATTCAGAAGGTTTTTTAAAAATTATTGTTATTTAAGATAGGATGGTGCATCTGTAGTTAGTTAACACATTAGCTTAGTGTACGGTAATTAAAAGTAACCACTAATGTGTTTTTTCAGTTTGTTTTTAAGTCACTGGAGACTTAATACGAAATGTGGTGTAGATCATTTAAGAAAAATGACACTCCTCATCTTCACTTCCCATTTATAGTCTATAGTTTCTTTTTTAGAGCCTTGCTTCCCTGCAGGCTTTCTCCAAACAGAACAAAGATCATCTGTTTTCAGTAGTTTAGTTCTTGCGTCTTCCCTATTGGCTGTTTCTCTGATGGTCATGAGATAATGTGGGATAGTCACCAGCTTTTTAACATGTAAATAGCGCTGTACCACAGATTTGCTATCTGCTTTCTGACTGCGTCTCATTGTATGATGTAGTATCTTGTCAGGAGTAATTTTCCACTAAGCTTGAATAAATCGGCTTCTGAGGAGCATCAAACCTGAATTAACAATAGTCTTTGCTAAAAAGCTAAAGTTGTATTATTTCAGAAAAGTATTCCTTACTAATGCAAAATGAGAGCTCTTTTCTGATTACCCCAATTCCTGCTAGTCTGGGTAGAGCTCCAAGTTAATATCCTGTTTGTCGTAGTGCTCTGTAAACACCTTTGTGACATTTTGTTGGCCTTCAATAACTTCGGTTTAATTATAAATGTCTTTACAATTTTTTTAATTTAATTTGTTTTAAATTGCATTCCTTTCATCAAAATGTCTTTTGAGTAACATTACTGTTATTAACTAGGGTTATTTTCTTTGTGTATGAATATGTTTCCCTATCCTGTGCTTAGCACTATGTTGTATTTTGTGTACTGAGGAAAGAGTATTACTACTTAGAGTAGCATGTTACTCTGTTAGTTCTCTTCAGTCTAAAAGGAAAAGTCAATGCCTTTTTGTTCTAACTTCCCTCTTCATTTTTACAACATAAATAGTCCAAACAATATTTTGCAGTAAAATAAACTTGAGTGAACTCATTTTGTTCTTTCCTTTAAATTAGTTTTCCTCTTAAATTTTGTCAATGCAATTCACGAACACCATGACATTCAAAACGATTTTTTGCTCAGATATTTGAGTCTTTAACAACTTCAGTAGAACCATTCAGCACAAATTAGAGATAGAGATTTAAACTAGAGCCTAAAAACTAGCTGTTCCCTAATTTTCCCTGCTTTTTTCTTGCAAAAGCATAGCATCAAGTCAAGACCCATCTTCTTGCCTTCAGGCTTCTAAATTGAAGAGGTCGTGGTTTCTCTTATTTCTTATGAGGGGAATTTAAAGTAGATGTGATGCTTCTGGACATGGAGAGGTGGAAAAAAACTGGTATTTTTCTGGTGCTATATTTTAAATGGGGCTCTGACAGCAATTATCTCAAAAGTTTCTGTGCAATGAAGGGACTGCTTTTTCCAAGACAAATGTGTGTCTTTGAAGACATTTACTAATATATTCATAAAACATACATCCTAATGTGGACACTAATGCCTGCTAGTTAGCTTGGTGATGCTGAAAAAAGAGCATTGACTTCAGTCGTTATTTAGCACACTTTAAAATGAAACTTTCCTAGAATACACTGTTTTATAAATTGGTATTTGTTTGTGTGCTTTGAAATAGGCCCTTTTTCAAATTGAGGTATTTAGTTTTCAGCCATCATGTGGTGATAAAAGTCTGAGTCATGTTTTCAAATGGAAATGAACACTCTTTGCTGTTCCAACAGTCTGATCAGGTCCTCTGTTAAAATATCATGTGTTTTAAAAACAATGTTCAGTAATTGAAGAATTTAATTCATTGGTATAATCTGTATGACAAAGTGATTATTTAAAAAAAAAAATTAATTTACCTGTCTTTTCTCCTTATATGAATTGAAGGAAGAGGAAGTGGATGTAAATGATCTTAAACTTAAAATTCTCTGTAAGGCTCTGCAAAGAGATGGGTAAGTCCAACATGAATATAAATTACTGGTAGTATTTGTGACATAGCTTTTACAGAATTACATATTAGTGTACTATTCTCTAGCTCACTGAAAAGATTGAATTTCATAGTATAAGGTTAGTAAAGTATAAAGTATCTGATCTGAATGTGTCGTCTTATTTGTAAAGTGAAACCCCAGCAAAAAACGCCTGTAATGCTTTATTTGCTTAGCTCCCTGGCAACCTACTATGCATTCTCCGCATCTGAGACAGAAACATACCTGTGAACTTTCATTTTTGAGCCCTTTGTTAGGGTAAAAGAATGACCAATGCGGAAACTTTTTTTTTTCCTTTGAAGTATCTCAAATAGAAGCTTTTTAAGAGCAACGTGCAGAGGTTGCTTCTGCAAACATTTATTTCACTTATTTTTGGCCATTGAACCACATCAACAAGTTCATGACTTTTTTTGAGTTAAAGCTTCATTCCTGACTGTAAGAAATCAAAGCCTTACATACTGGTTAAAAAAGCCACTCTTATGGATGTTCAACACCAAATACAGGCCGAATCCAATTGGTCAGAAGAATCTTCTCATCAAGCAGTGCCACTGTTCTCTCCCAGGTTAAGAAACTCAAATGGCATTCCCTCCTTTTCCTCTCTGATTTATCAGAAGTTAGCTAGCTTTTCTAGCTCCAATCCATGTTCCTAGAGGACCTATGGAAGAAAGGATGAGAATACTGCGCCACTTGTGATTATAATGGAAATAAGCACCATCTGGATTCACGCTTATGCGTAGGATAGATTCCAAAGGACAGTGGTCTGCAGAAAATAAATTCCTCATTTCATGACTAAGGTAGTGTCACATCTGACACGATATGCAGAATCAGGTTCACGCTATTCCAAGTGTTTTGTTCCCTTCCTATTATTTTCAAGACAGAAGAATTCAGAAGTCCTACATGGCACCAGACCAATAATGGGTTTATGTCCTGTCAACCCTGGGCCAAGAACAGAGTTTTGGACATAATATTTAAACCATTTAAATCATATACACTGCTGACAAGATTTTGCCCGCTCTGCTAGCTAACCAGTTGGAGATCACTTTGCACTGAATAGTGTTTAGAAACCTTGATGCTCCAGTTGGGTTTCCAGTCCAGCAAGATTCACAAAGGCTCACAAAGAGGTCGCTATTTCAAAAGCAGAAGTGTTAACTTTCATCTGCATGCAAAAGTAAGGGTTTGACATGTTACAGTACCTACTTTTAAGGATGGCATCTGTTTTCTGGCTTAACAGCTACAAATGGAGGTAAGGTTCTTGGGCAGAGTGGAGAGCCTTGCTGAGCGTGCTCCTGACCTTCTGGTAGGGTCCTCACTATCCTCCTCGGTTCCCAAGAGTGATTTGTTTCCTCAAATTCCCCTACCCCTTCCCCTTATCTCCCTCCTTCCTTCCCTCACACTCTTCCCAGTAGAATTGAAGATGAAGTCTTAGAAGTTTGGGAGTTTAAATGACATCCAGGGTAAAACTGTGGTTTCAGTGAAGTACAGAGGATTTGCCAGTTATAGGTTCTGGGAGCTGGGTCCAGATCAGTTGCAAGTGTGTCCCAGTGGCCCAAGGAGGTTCAAGTTGGTTTAGGCAGTGATATGCAAACTGGTTTTGTCTGGCAGGTTAACACATGGAACAGAAAATTTTAACAACTGAAAGTTTAGACTAAACTACAGCAAAAGAAGTTAGGTTGGTGTTGACTTAAAACTGCTTCACATAAAGTTCTGAAAATATGAAAAATTGTCATTTAAAATACTCTTTCTCTTAGAAAAATCTGTTTGGGATTTTCTTATCAGAGATGAGACTTGCGTTCACAAGTCTTCCCCTTCCCATTTAATCACAAAGGAGACAAACTGTTTAGTTTGTGTCTGTCTGTGTTGTTACAGGGCTGCAACTTAGGTTTTACAATTTTTTTTTCCTCCTCCTTCCTTTTCTCGGTGCTTGCTTTTTTGTTTTGTCTTTTTTCAAATAGGTTAGAAAATTGCTGTTCTTGCTTTATTCTACCAAAAATAAATCTATACTTGCATCATCTCAATTGTAAAATATAATTACTGAGAATAGGTAGTTCTTATCTTGATGGATAATATTTTTTATTTTATCAAATAAATAATGTTTTCTTTTACAGTTTAGAAGACAGGAATAATTTATATTGTCCTCCTAACTAGGCTACGATATACTAGTGCAATTTTATTGCAGTTTTACTCTTGTAATAAAGAATAATTAACACAAGATAGAAAAAACCTCTTGCTTTGAGCTGTAGCGAAGCACGTAACACTTATATTTGCCTACAGGAGAGCTGGGGAAGGACTTTTTACTAGGGCATGTAGCGATAGGATGAGGGGGAATGGCTATAAACTGGAAGAGGGCAGGTTTAGATTAAACATTAGGAAGAAGTTTTTCACTTTGAGGGTTGTAAGGCACTGGAACAGGTTGCCCAGAGAGGTTGTTGAGGCCCCATCCCTGGAGGTGTTCAAGGCCAGGCTGGACGTGGCCTTGGGCAACCTGGTCTAGTGGGAGGTGTCCCTGCCCATGGCAGGGGGCTTGGAACTCGGTGATCTTCAAGGTCCTTTCCAACCTAAACCATTCTATGATTCTATGATATGTGATCGTGTATTAATCACCTCTGATAATTTATTAAATTTCCTGCATATTTTTTCTTGAGAGTTTTCATTTGATTTCATCTGTGCAATTCTTTCCACAAATTATTCTTTCACTTGCAGATGGTCCAGTTCAGATGGTAAAGATGATCCAATTGAAGTATCTAAAGATAGTATATTTGTGAAAGTATTACAGAAACTATTGAAAGAAGGTAAAGTATACTTAAATGTAATTGAACTTTTTGAAATTTTTGTTTCAAAAGCTGCTTAAGATGATCACTAATACGTAAGAAGTAGTGTTAATAAACTCTCAGAGTAATAAGAACTTCCATATGCATTCCACTAGATAATTACAATCATATGGAGCTAATTCTACCTCCATAAAATGCTGAAGGGATGAGAGATAAGCAGATCTCTTAGTTATAACCTTAGTACCCTCAAATTATTTTCTTACTAGGGCAGCCGTTGGATTTTTAGCAGTTTCTTACTGTACAGTAAAGTATGTCTTCTGGAGTTAAATATGTATGTTCTGTAAGATAAAGGATTAATAACTATTTGTCTGTGTTGTGGTTTGAGAAATAAATATAAGCAGGAGCCTCTCTGCATACTATTCCTTGGTATTAATTATAAACATCAGGCCTTATCTCTGCTAGAAGCTGACACTGAAAAACATGCTGTTAATTTCAGAGAGCGCAGTTAGTTAGAAGAGACTTAACTGAAAAGCAAAATTGCTGAACAGAAAATTGGTTCTGGTTTACCTCAAACCAGGACAGTCTGTCATTCAGAAGAGCTTAATCTGTTTGAGCTTAAATGTGTTTGTTTTCCTGCCCCAAAAGCAAATAAAAAAAAAAACCACCAAAACCAACACACACCCCCCCACACACACACCCCCCAGTTAAAGCTGACCATGGGAAGTTATGGCTGTGAAAATGACAGCTGGGGGGCGGGGGGAGAGGCGGGAAGCAATTTAGAGTCAAAGTCTGTTTTAAATACTACTGCATATGAACTTTTTCCAGAACGGAGAAGGCTCCATGTCAAAAATATAAAAATTAAGTTCTTCAGAACAGTTCTAGTTTTGTGATCAATCCTGCCAATTTCTTTCCTTTTGTGAGATTCTCGGAGGCCAGACTGAAATGTTGCAGCTGATGACATAATATTTATTATATGATTGATCTTTCTTTTCAATTTTTTTTATTATTTTGGTGAAGTGTTATGTAAAGACTTGGAATTTAGGTTTAATGATAAATTCACTGAAAAGCTCTGTTTGTGTAGGAAATATATATATATATTTAACTCAGTTTTACAGGCTACTTAAGCTTTACTGCATTTCTTGACATGTATAATAGAATTCTATCTCCTCAATTCCCAAAGAATAATTTAACTCTGAGACAGGCACAGGTGTTTACTTAAAAATCATCCTAACTGCTAATGCATAGTACTCTTATCAGTGCTGTAATAAAAGATTTTGTTTTGTAGGAGTTCAGTTAAGTGAGTATTTACCAGAGGTGAAGGACTTGCTGCAAGCGAACGAACTTGGCAACTTGAAATGTTGTGCTTACTTCGAATTTGTGTTAAAGGCAATCTACGAACTCTATGTTCAGGGACAAGCATGATTCTCACTATTTTTTAAAATATTTTTTCTAAAGAACTGTTAAATTCATGTATACTTTTGTTACGTTCTGTTCTTATTTTGCTAAATCTTTGTAATAAAATCTGTATAAGTAATATGCTTGGTCTTAAATTTATAAATGTTGACGCTCTAGTCAGGGGAGGCAGAAGTGTGTTTTCAGGCAAAAGAAAAAGGAAACTTTAGTTTTCTGTGCCTTTCATAAACTTGCTGTTTTGTTTTACATCGTCATTGGTATGAGTCCTGCCTGAGACTCACACACAGACACACAGGGTGAAATGTGGGGACCCACTGCAGAAGGTGGAAACTTTTGCTCTCGCTTCACTGAGGCTGTGATTTCAGTTCAGAGAGCGTACTGAAAACATTAATGTTGGGTGACTGTGTAGCTTCCTGAAGAAAGAAGTTATTATTCTGCAAAGTAACTCTGCTCTCTCTTAGTACAACAGCTTTTGCTGTAGAAACTAGGTAATTTCAATTTTGCATTAAAGGTTACTGGCACAAAAAGGATAACTGGCTTGTCGCTGGTCACTCAGCTTGCCCGTGACAGAAAGCAGTAAAGCACAGTTCTCATTCAAAGTCCTCTGGTGCAGTAAATATACCATTCTTACAGTTTAGATCTGTAAGATTCAACTTTTCCAAAACATTTTAATCTTTTATCTATGTAACTTTCATTTAAGTTATATGCATATTTCTAGAATACATGTAAAAATGAGATTAGCAGCTCACCATGCAGTCATTCACAGCAACTGCTTGAACCTAGGCTCAGAAGAAACCTAGAAAGCAGTTATGAAAGTGTGGGAGTCCAGCACGATCTTCCTTACTCAGCGACTTGTTCTCTCTACTGGTTGATGCTACTAGTTTTCTTTTTTTTTTTCTTTACCCTACTGCCCAAATTAGTTCTCTCTGACATGGGAATAGAAAAAAAAAAAAAAAATCATTTAACTTTTCAATTTTAATTATTCTGATTGGCAGCAGATTTTAATATTTAAATAAAAGTTACTTTAATCTGACGTGTTGTACTTTTCTTTTGCAAGTAGCTCAACAGCCAGAGAGCAAATGCAGGCAACTTGCATGCCCTTATGTTTTACTTGTCTGGCTCAATGCCTGCTGCAAAAATTTGATCCAACAGCTGAGAAGGTCAGAAGTTAAATTGGTTGAAGAGAATCCAGTTTCTAGTTTTAAAAGCACAGCTCCCCTTCCATGGCTTCCCCTCCTCCCTGTACTAATACAGTAAGCCGGGCTGAGAGTCTGAACATGTTTGGAAGAATAGATTTATCTAGAGAGGTTCTAACTAATATGGGAAAGAAATGTACTAGCAGTCATCTTCTAAGATTGTTCTAAGAAGCGAACTTTGCTCTTCTGCAGCCTTGCATGGCTGAGAGGAAGAAGTGCAGGTGTAACTCTCAGCTTCAAAGGAGTGGGTCATTTAAAGCTTTAGAAGAGTTCCACTTGCTTGTTTAAATGCCACTTTAAAGGTGTTTTCACATTATTGATAAACTTAACATTTGGGGTGAAAGGGAATAATCTAACAAAAGATTGCCACCCCCTGCCAAAATACGTTCCGCCTGAACTTTTACTAGATTCTTAATTTTGCTTGAAGAGGAATGTCTGTAATTGACCATCTACAGTAAAACACTGGGGTCTATCTCATCCTTTCCTAGAGTGCTGACTGCCTGTATTCTCTCAGGAGGGGCAGGGGAAGCCCCCAAAAGCTTGCTCCAGAAGCAGGCGTTTCTGTTCATCACCAGCTATCCATCTCTTTCAAAGTGCCCGGCTTCTCTGCTGGGATGGGTTTATTCTGGTTGGTGTAAGAACATTCTCCAGGTTCTCGGGGAACGATCAGCCGTGTCGGCTTCACAACTAATGTTTTATTCTATTGCTGCGTTGGGATGCATTTGGCATTTGTACAACGGCTTTCCATCTGACTATTGCCAAAACAGAAGGCTGCAGGCAATGAGTTTACTTACATAAAACCTCATTAAAATAACTTCCGTGTCTAAACTGAAGTTTAATGTTCTTGTACTAGGAGTGTTGAGCTCGTTCACTATTCTGTTGGGAAGCCTGAAGAGGCTGGGATTTGGGGCTGTTCCTCCTCTCCGACCTCCGTTTCATTATGTAATAAGTTGTTCTGGTGCAGAACTCCCATCTCAGATTACCGTGTGGGGAGGATGCCTACATTTACCACCACATATTGAAGGTCATGCCAGAGCTCTAGGTTGTTTCCAAGTGTAACAAAAACAGAAATAAACTTGGGACAAAAAGATTCGGGTTTTGGTTAAAGCAGCTCAAGGAGTATGGATAGCTCCTTTAGAAGAAGGAAGTATATGTTATTTCTCAAATGGTTGTTTTCTCAGTAATGAGAAATACACACAGTACAGGATGTCAACACTTCTATCCTCTGTTGTCACCGGAGTAGCAGGAAAGCTTATCAGCAGGAAAGCATATTTGTGAACAACTTCAGAAGCTATGTGTTGCAGATAGTGATCTGCTCTGTGCCCAGCTCTTTTATGGAAACTTAACTTCAAATGGTTTCTGACTTGGGACCAAAATCAAACTCATTTCATGAGTCCAGCTAAATATCAGATGAGTGCAGAAAATGATCTTTTATGCAGAACTAAAAGGTAAGGATTTAACATTGCCATCAGGCATTTTGCTGTAAACTAGATTGGGGTAGAGAGAAAATTAAAGGAAACAGAAGGGATAGAGTGGGTTTATGCTTGCGTCAGGTTTCATTGAAGGATTAAGAATGTTTATCTTTCAGCGACCTTAGGCTTTCTGTTACTCGATTTCTGATTCAACACAACCAACCATATTTTGGAATCCACGGCGGAGCGTTACAGTTCTGTAAATAGATTTGATGGCTGCGACGCCTTTAAGTGCTTTCAGGCTTCCGGTTTTTGTACTGCCAGTTGTTGATGACAGAACTGAAGAATAACACAAGAAGCTGCAGAACAGTATGAGAGAATAGCATGTTTTATCCCCAGCATACTTTAATACAATAACTTGACAGGAAATGAAAATCTATAGCAGAATGAAATAGGGAGCAGCCAGAGGTAAAGAGGAACGCTGCCAAACTGGAGGGTGCAGAAATTAGAGGAGAAGAAAAGTTGTCTGCTTCTCTGCTGGCTGTTCTGCTCTGCCTTGCAGTGGAGGAGATCAGCTGCAGAAATGCCTTCAGTTGTAGGAGACTCCTCACAGCATGAACGCTTCTGGCTTACTATTCCTTCTTCCTCCTCTCTTGACTCCCTAATTTTTAAAAGGGTTTACCCATGGCCAGTTGTGCCTTCAGAGAAGGTCTTGAAGGGTGATTTGCATCGACTCATTGGCAGGGCTGCAAATCTGCTTGCGTTACTGCCTCTTCTTTCCATCAGTAACCGTAATTTCTATATGAAATCTTCCGAGTGTCCCACATGGAATCTCTGCTTAAATATCCGCAGCTGGAGATGAACCGTTCCTCTTCACTTGCACAGTACCTTCAGCTCGTCAGAGATTACTTGCCTGTGAGACTGCACTCCGTTAGGGAAGGGTGAGCCGCAGGGATAGCTGGCGGATTCCCATCCTGTGTTTCCTGGCCGAGCTCAGCGGTCAGCAATGGGTACTCGGTAACAGCACCAGCATTCACGGCCACGTCAGGCTCCTGGGATCAGACGGTCACCAGGATTAATGCTTCACCGGGCTTCTCCTCAGGCGTTTGTCTAACAGATGTCATCCCCTGCATTTATTTTCCATTTTTAAATCACCAAAAAAAAAAAAAAAAAAGGCACCGCTTAACTCGGTGTGCGAAGCAGTGGCTTTTACGTGGGCTGTCGCCACATACAACGGCATTACGTACAACGGCATTACACACAAACCGCAGGTGGGCCTCGTCCCTTCGCCTTCTCTCACCACCCCCTTCTTCCTCCCCGGCGCCGGCCTCTACCTGCCTGGCCAGAACAAGGCAACATCCCCGAGGGCCGCCTTTTCCTTTGCGG